CTTAGCCTACGAGAAGGGGTACAATTTGAACACATTACAGATTAGCTCCCAAATTATATAAATAGACGAAACTCCTATATTACTAAGGAATGTCAAGGTACTAAGTTCCTCAAACACATTTTTAAATGTTTTTTTAAATTTATTTTGAGAGAGAGACAGAGAGCATGAGTGGGGGAGAGTCAGAGAGAAAGGGAGAGAGAGAATCCCAAGCAAGCTCCGAGATGTCAGCACGGAGCCTGATGCAGAGCTCCATCCCACGAACCTCAAGATCATAACCCGAGCTGGAATCAAGAGTCAGACGCTCAACCGACTAAGCCATCCAGGTGCCCCCGAACATATTTTTAAGTATAAAAGTTCTTACATTATGTAGTAAATTCTGTATCTGTGTCCCTCACTAGACTATGAGTATTTTAAGTGTCAAGACTATCTTGTTGGGACCACAGTACAGTGCCTGAAACATCAATTAATGTTTGATGAATAACTGAACCAATGAATGTACATATGGCCAGGGACAATGCGGATAAAAGCCCAGATTCTGAGGGCTAGATTCTACCTGGATTCTAACCCCAGCTCCCTCCTTACTAGCTATGTGCCTTTGGACAAATTGTTTAATCTCTCTGGAGTTTTCTATAATATGTTGCAATAATACTAGGCACTTCATAGACTGCATTCCACGGTACCTGATGCAAAGTAAACAGTCAATAAGTCTTATTACTAGGGGCACCTGGGTGGCTCTGTTGGAGAAGCATCGGACTTCGGCTCAGGTCATGATCTCATGGTTTGTGGTTTCCAGCCCAGCATTGGGCTCCATGCTGACAGCTCAGAGCCTGGATCCTGCTGCGGATTCTGTGTCTCCCTCTCTCTGCCCCTCTCCTGCTCGTACTCTCTCTCTCTCTCTCAAAAAAAATAAACATTAAAAAAAGGTTTTTAAATAAGTATTATTACTATTCTTGAAATCTGGAATGTCTGGCTGTTGTAGCTACCAGGAGACTCCAAGCATTTAGGTAGTTTTACCCCCAATTCTAATCAAGAAAACCCCACTTTGTGAACCTTCATTTCAGAAGCTGAGGCAGGATTTAATGGCCTTCCAGAACGTGAAAGAGCTCTGGGCACAGGTGGTGGTAAGCAGCTGTTCTCCATCTCCACTGAGGACCAGCTGAGAGCCTTAAAGAGCCACAAGAGTGATTTGCGTATAAAGTATTAGGCATAGTTTCCATTATAATGTTCGAGGGTGTGAGAGTCTGGGCTGCCTCCAGGGCTGCCGTGGAATCCCCCTCTCTTGAGATTCTCTAAAAACTGAATGCTTAATCGGCTCTAAGGTGGATCAAGACCAGGAAAGCGCCTCACGTTCACGTAACAAGCAGTTTATACAGGTCAGTCGAGTTATGCTGCTGCTGACCTAGTTCCGGAGAAGAGCTATTACCTGGAGATTCATACAGAAAGGAAGAAAGCATGGGAAGCAGATTCCTCTACTTAATGAGATTGTAATAAAACATTTTAATATGCTGTTAATCCTCATTCAAAATAACTTTACATCTCATTAAGAAACCATTTCTGGAGGACCTGAGTGGGTGGTGGCAGGTTCAGGCACTCATGGGAGCCGATAGCCTTGGGGACTGCGTTCAGCTGCAAGTTCAGGTAAGCGGCCAGCACCCTGTGGTGTCCAGATGGTGATCTGTGCCATTCCCTGCTTCAGAAGGCAAACAGAAGAGGTGAAGATCACTTCCCTTCCACGCTCTGGGTTGGGGTGGGGAAAACGTATCAGAGAAACCCCAGAGAGGACACAGACCCAAATTATGCCCCTATTGTTCTTTTCAAGCCAGAGATTGTTTTGCATATTTCCTCTTGGGAACAAAATACTCTGATTTTAGTGAAGAGGTGATGCAGTCTCTTGCTCTCTCTGGGTTGCCCACAGAAAGAGACCAAAGAGGAAAAAAAAAAAGACTTCTAGGGGGGAAGAAAAGCTCACAGAGGCTTTGATGCTGCACAACCTGAAGCTTGAGTTAAGGCTGAAAGGAGAGTGGGTGCAGGTGACTGAGGAAACCCGGCTGGTTTGCAGTTTTATAGGCATGTAAGGGGATTAGACAGAAGGGCTGGAATAGTGATATGGGATAAAGACACTTAAATGGAATTTAACGGTTTGTTCTTTTACAAATTACCGAACATTAAGTTTAAATGTTTTCATATAAATATCAAATTATATGTATATTGCAGGATCGCAAATTTGCACATCACCACTGGGTTTTTTAAGGAAAATGTAGTGCCTCTGTTCCCTGTAAATATTCTTGGTCCGAGCCTACACCCCATGGAAGAACAGGGGAGAAGGCACACTTGCGGATTCATATCTCAATCCGCTCTTCCCTTTGAAACAGCATCTGCTGGTAATGCCTTCCCTTAGAGGATTCCGCTTATTCTCTCTCCCCGACATGGCTTATGGTGACGAGAAGGCAGGCCTGTGGCTGATACAGTGGGCCCTCTCCTCTGCAGGTGTCTGGCTGGGACACAGCCGGTCCCTTGTGGCCTTCAGGGACACTGAGCCGTCCTTCCCTGCCTGGGTCCACATGTACCAGGCTGCAGGGAGCTAGCAGCAGCTCTGCCTCTGACCTTGGCCGTCCCCAAGGCCAAGCTGTTAGGACTCTCAAGCCATGTGGGACAAGTTGCTAGGCCAGAGCCAGCTTCTCCTCAGACCTGGCAACGTTGCATTAGGGACCCTCCCTAAGGAGAGAGAAAAAAGAAAAAGAAGACTTCAAGGTCACCTGGATATGCACCCAGGTGCCTACATCCTCCATGACCTTGTAAACTGCATGTTTATGGGTGTTATCATATATGGGAGAAAAAGAAATAGAAAATGCGTAAAAAAAAAAAACTATGCCACGAGATGAGGACCGCGCAGTTCTTTGGGTATGAACCCAACTGAGCGGTACCAGCATGAATAAAAGTTGCTTCCTGGAAAGAAAAGCCTCAGTGTCACAACTCTCTGTGGGAGAATCCTGCTATGGCCTCTCCCAAGCCACAAATGAGGAAGAAGCCACAGCCCCATGCTCCTGGGCTCCCCATCCCTAACAGATTTTTTTTTTAGGTCTTCATTTTATTTTGACAGAGAGACAAATGTGAGTGGGGGAGGGCAGAAGGAGAGGGAGACACAGGATCTGAAGAGGCTCCAGGCCGCAAGCTGTCAGCACAGAGCCTGACGTGGGGCTCGAGCTCAGGGACTGTGAGATCACAACCTGAGCTGAAGTTGGGCGCTTGACTGAGCCACCCAGGCGCCCCGAGCAGCAGATTTCTATCACAACCTGCTCTGGTCCCCAAAGCTTCCACCTTCTAAAGAAGGAAACACATACTTTCCTCTGACAGCTGCACTTGCTTTGTTTCACCAAAACTGGTTTCGGCCAGCTGAAGTTCTAAAGGATCCTGACCTTCAGCAACCTCCCCACCATCACCACCGCGAAAAAGAGCTGATAAACAACCAAGAACTCGGAGTGACCCCGGCTCATCAGACCTCCCTGGACCCAGCTGAGGGCTTCTTCCTGCCCAAGAAACAGCAGGACTTGTTTTAACCAACTGTATACAGGTTGGTGGACGCACCTGACACTGCGGAGCACAATCTTTCAGTCACGGATTAGCATACATAGCAGGACCCCCTCCCTTTCTAGTAGTAAAACCCCCTGACTTCCCCTCGGAAAAGTAGTCCCCTGCTGCGTATCCCTCTGCCCAGGAAGTAACTCGGCTCAGTGCTTGCTCTGTTGATGCTTTACTCCCGGCTTGTCCATGAATAACCCCACCGGGAGGAAGAAGTGAGCACACCAGCATCTGCTGTCTCTGCCTTCCTCTTCAGCCCTCACTCTCCTCCTCTAAAGAGCTTCTTTTTTTTTTTTTAATGGGGTTGGACTTCCTTTATGTCCTTGCTCCCAGGGGCACCAAGCCACATGATCTGTCATTTGTGGCAGAAAGGACGCAGGAAGAAAAACTTGCTTAGTGATAAGGACACCTACTGAAAAGTAGTTTTAAGTTACTATCCCATTACCTAGATCATGAATGAAACACTGACAGTTTAGGGACGCCTGGGTGGCTCAGATGAAGTGGCCAACTTCAGCTCAGGTCATGATCTCACAGTTCGTGAGTTCAAGCCCTGCTTCGGGCTCTGTGCTGACAGCTCAGAGCCTGGAGCCTGCTTCAGATTCTGTGTCTCCCTCTCTCTGCCCCTCCCTCTCTGTTCTCTCTCTCTCTCTCTCTCTCTCTGTCTCAAAAATAAACATTAAAATTTTTTAAGAAAAACTGACAGTTTAACTTGGTAGGCAACAAGACAGTCTAGATTTTACTTATTATATTGTTTACTAATAATCTTTTAAACCGCACTTACATAGTGCTCAGTATGTACCAGGTACTTTTCTAAGACTTTGACTCTAATTCTTGCATGTCCCTATGTGGTAGGTACTGTCATAATTCTCAACCTTATTTTATAGTTGAGGGAACTGGAGCACGCGTCAGTGAAATAACCTTGCCCAAGGTTACAAGGTGAACCGTAGAGGCCTTGAGATCCGAGTCCGAGTCCGGTTCCTTGTGAAACTCACACTCCACCGCCACTGGGGGTCAGCACACCCAACTAAAGGAGCAGCAGCTTTCAGAAGAAGTAAGGAAACAGCATGGACTGAGGGCCTTCTCGGTCCAAAAAACACTTATGCAGACATTTCCTAATTTAATCTGAGAGATGAATAAACTTTTTAGAGAACAGAATATGCAATATTTAGTTAATGGAGTGACTGATATGCATCAGGGGCGCTTTTGTCCGTATTTATTCGATTGAAAAAATAACACTAGACTTGGAAGTTAAGAGGATCAGTCCCCAGATTCTTCGTTAACAAAGGACTCTTTCCAGCTACACGCACCTTATCACACAATGAAACCATTATGAGAAGCACTTAAGGGACGAGTGTGTTCTGATGCTCTCTCCCTCAGCAAAAATCAGCCAGAGACAAGCATTTGCTATAAAATTATCTGGTTTAATCGCTATCAACATCAGAACTGCACTGCATTAGAGTACAAAACCTGTATGTACAATTACACATACAAAAAATGTTCTTTGTGAGAAGCAATTTTCAGCAAATCTGACAAACAGCAAGAGTCACTCCTATTTTGGGTTTGAAAAGAGAACTGGAAGCTTCCAAGATGTCCCCCGCCTCCCTCCGGCTCCAGCGACCCTCCGACCATCAATCTGCAAAGGCCTGAGGTAGGAAGGGTGGGGTCAACACTATCAGGCACACATCCTCCTCTCTTACGGAAGGGGTGCATTTTTAGGAAACATTCCCCATCATTTATTATACTGATGTTCCATCCATCTGCATCATTAGGTTCAGCGGTTACCATGACAACATGATGCCTACAGCAATCTAACTTGATAGCCAGATGCCAGAATGTGAAAAAATAGGACCAGCTAAGAAAGTGAGAGAAATATAATTAATCTGAAGCACATAAAAATGTGCACAAAACTAGGACCAAGAGGGAAACTGCTGAAATGTCACTGTGGAGAGAATTATGACAGGAAGCAATAATCAAGTTTCAGTATGAAAGCTTTGCTAACTAGAGGCACGAGTTGGTCCATAACTAAGACTGAGGAACCAGTCAAAGTTAGTTGTGAATATATTGCTCTGAGAGCCTCCCCCAGATCATTTCCTGCCTCAGAGCCCAGTGGGTTCTCACTGATTCCAGCCACGGGGTTCTTAGGCTTGACTTTCCTGAGGATCTGAAGCCGCCATCTTGAATGCTCCCCCATGGGATTCTGCTCACCTCCAGTCTGCTATGCTACCCAGCTACTATCCATCATTCTGAAGCCAGTGTTAAGACACTGGACTGGGCTGTGTCCTAGAAGACCCTTCCTCAGGCCGGGGGAGGTAATAGGCTAGTACAACCCTCTTGGGGGCCCCAGTATGGCAGAGGGGCTGGAGATCAAAGAAGGAGACCAGCTTGGGATGGGTGGTGGTTCTCTTCAGGGCTGGGTTGGATAGCGGCGCTGAGCTAGACGATTAGGTCGGTTCAAGCTAGTAGCCATGGAGAGCTGGAAAAGAATAAACATCCCATGAGATTACAGCCCCAAGCAGGACTCCATCCAGGACAGGCTAGCTGGACTGAGCTATGGTATCCTGAGTCTAGAACACTTGAGCTGTATGTGACTTCCTTTTGTGGTATTCTAATTATTTACTTTTACCCAATATCTCTTAGATATGGCAAAAGAAATTCAATTTTATGAAGAGGGGAGGCCAGCTGGGCACATTAGAGTGATCAGTCTGCCCCAGGTCACTGAAGAGCAGGAAGTTTAGCCTCTCTCAAAGCTTGCAATGATCCCCTCACCCCCAGGATGGAGTAATGGTATTTCCACACCACTGGTACCAACACCAATGTGTCTCTCAAAGTCTCAAGACCTGTGAAAGGTCAAGAGTGGTATTACTAACAATGACATTGATTGGACATTTTCTGTGTGTGGGGCCCTTCATATACATGCTCCCATTTAATCCTCACACCTGCCCTGCAAGGTAGCTACTACCAACCCCACTTTACAGATGCAGAAACTGAGGCTTACAGAGGGTAAGTCATTGCTCAAGAATTCACACACAGCAAGTGGTAAACTAAGATTATAAACCTAGATCTCCTTCATCCAGAATTTGTGCTCCTAGCCCCCCCCTCCTTCAGGGCTTCCTTACCTGGGGGACCTGAGATGGGTTGTAGAGAGGAACACCTCCTTTCAAGGAGGGTGGGGGGAGCAGAACAGCAGGATTGTAGCAAAACTCAGAGGAAACACCCTGTGATGGAAAACAATAGAAAATCCTATCAGTCGCTATTTCTGATTCCAGAACATCAAGGGCTTCCCTGAGCATCAACTTTGGTCAAGAGATGCAAATGGACAGGGTTTCTTGATAGAACTCAGGGAATTCAAGCAAACAGATATCACCTACGTGGGCACAGTCAACCCTGGATGTAATGTCATATTCTCTGAGAGGCCTAAAATACTACAAGAGTATATTTTACCACAGGAAATAAAAACATTTTCCTGGCAATTAGCATGAAGTCTATACTGTGTGGAAGATTCATCCAGAATTTACAGCCCTCACTTAAAAAAAAAGGTGGGGGGACACCTGGGTGGCTCAGTTGGTTAACCATCCAACTGCAGCTCTGGTCATGAACTTGTGGTTCATGAGTTCGAGCCCCATGTCGGACTCTGAGCTGACAGCTCAGAGCCTGGACCCTGCTTCATATTCTGTGTCTTCCTCTCTCTCTCTCTACCCCTTCTTTACTCATGCTCTGCCTTTCTCTCTCTCTCTCTCTCTCAAAAATAAATGAACATTAAAAAAAAGAATTGTTTACAGCCCTTGCCAAAGACACAAATGAGCTCTGGGACAGGGAAAGAGGCAGTTCTCTAGCCTTCACCTGAGGAAGTTGTTATGGGCTAAATTGTGTCCCTTGAAACTTCATGTGTTGAAATTCTAACCCTTCTAGTACTTTAGAACATATTTGGAAGTAGTGTCCTTTTTTTAAGGTTTATTTTGAGAGAGACAGAGAGAGTCCAAGTGTGGGAGGGACAAAGAGAGAAAATACCAAGCAGGTTCCATGTGTCAGCACAGAGCCCCCATGAGGGGCTCAAACCCACAAAACCGTGAGATCAGGACCTGAGCTGAAATCAAGAGTCAGACACTTAACTGACTGAGCTACCCAGGCAGACTCTGAGGTAGTGTCTTTAATGAGGTGATTAAGGTACCCGAAAAACAATCCAGTGAAGACATGGGCAGAAGACATGAATAGACACTTCTCCAAAGAGGACATCCAGATGGCCAATAGACACATGAAACGGTGCTCAGCATCCCTCCTCATCAGGAAAATACAAATCAAAACCTCACTGAGATACCACCTCACGCCAGTCAGAGTGGCTAAAATGAGCAAATCAGAGAACTCTAGATGCTGGCGAGGATGTGGAGAAATGGGCACCCTCCTACACTGTTGGTGGGAATGTAAACTGGTACAGCCCCTCAAGAAAACAGTGTGGAGGATCCTCAAAAAATTAACACTAGAACTCCCCTATGACTCAGCAATAGCACTGCTAGGAATTTACCCAAGGGATACAGGAGTGCTGATGCATAGGGGCACATGTACCCCAATGTTCATAGCAGCACTTGCAACAATACCAAATCATGGAGAGCGCCTAAGTCCAACTGACAAATAGATCAAGATGTGGTTTATATATGCAACAGAATACTACATGGCAATGAGAAAGAATGAAATCTGGCCATTTGCAGCAACATGGATGGAACTGGAGGATATTATGCTAAGTAAAATAAGTCAGAGAAGGACAGATACCATATGTTTTCACTCATATGTGGAACAGGAGAAACTTAACAGAGGACCATAGGGGAGGGGAAGGGAAAAATAGTTGGGGAGAGGGAGGGAGGCAAACCATGAGAGACTCTTAAATACTGAGAACAAACTGAGGGCTGATGGGGATGGGGGAGAGGGGAAGGGGGATGATGGGCATGGAGGAGGGCACTTGTTGGGATGAGCACTGAGTGTTATATGGAAACTAACTTGACAATAAACTATAATTTAAAAAAATAAAAATTAAAAAATTAAAAACATTAAAAATAAATAAAGAGGTGATTAAGGGAGCACCTGGCTGGCTCAGTTGGTAGATCATGAGACTCTTGATCTCAGGGTGTGGGTTCAAGCCCTACAATGGGTGTAGAGATAACCTAAAAATAAAACCTTTAAAGGGGTGCCTGGGTGGCTCAATCAATTAAGTGTCCAACTTCAGCTCAGGTCATGATCTCACCGCTCATGAGTTTGAGCCCTGTATTGGGCTCTGTATTGACAGCTCAGATCCTGGAGCCTGCTTCGGATTCTGTGTCTCCCTCTCTTGCTCTATGCTATCCCCCACTTGTGCTCTGTCTCCCTCCTTCAAAAATAAATAAATATTTTAAAAAATTTTAAATAAATATCAGTCAGTTAGGCATCTGACTTTGGCTTAGGTCATAATCTCAGTTCATGGGTTTATGGGTCCTGGAGCCTGCTAAGGATTCTGTGTGTCTCCCTCACTCTCTGCACCTCCCCCCTCATGCTCTGTCTCTGTCTCAAAAACAAATATTTAAAACTTTTTAATAAAACCTTTAAAAAATTAAAATAAAAAAATAGGTGATTAAGGTAAGATGAGGTCACTAGGGTGGGCCCTGGGTCAGTATGACTCGTGTCCTTATAAGAAGAGGAAATTTGGACACAAGCACACACAGAAGAGCGACCGTGTGAAACCCCCGCCTTCTAACAAGCCGATGAAAGAGGTCCCCGGAGAAACCACCCCTGCCCACACCTCGATCTCAGACTTCCAGCCTCCAGAACGCTGAGGTAATAACTGTTGAAGCTGCTCAGTCTGAGACATTGGTTATGGTGGCCCTCGCAAACTAGTACAGAAGCTCTCTTTCTGACTCCCCGGCTCAGGTCCCCGCAGGATGGCGCCTCCAGCCCACCCCGAGTGCACATTCCTCACACAGGTGTCCGGTGGGGCCCCAGGCTCCAGCCCCGAGGCTGCTCACCTCAGGCCCAGACAAGCCTCCACTGCTGGTGCCCTCAGCCGCTCCCCCACTGGATGCTGGTCCTCGCACTTCGCTCTCGCCTAGAAAGCAACGAGTGGGAGCTGTGTCCACTGCTCAGGCCTGAGGAGTCCCCACTCCCAGAAGGCACCCCCAATGGCAAGAAGCACAGTGGGCCCATAGACAGCCCCAAGGACATGCGGTCGGTGGTACCTGTGGCCCCAGTGAAGGTGCTGGTGCCTGGCAGAGACTGGGGCTCTGGGAGAGATGTCGGTGAGAGGCTGGGGCCAGCCTGGGGGGCAGAAGATGCTCCGGAGGTCTCCTGCTTAGTGAGAAAGAAAGGCAGCGTTGGTGATGCCGGTGGTTGACAAATTCATGCCGGCGGCTGTGTTCCTGCCATGCCCACAGCAGCGGCCTCAGCCTGCGACCCGCTGCCAGGGACTCCCCCCAAAACTCCACTTTCTTCGTGCCCCTGCTCTGCTCAGTGATCAAACAACGGTGGGCCCCCTACAGTTAACATTCTTCGTCCTAATGTTAAGACCCTTCATCACCCACCTTTGCCAGTTGCCAGTTGCCAGCTCCGGGCCTCAGAGGTTCTGAGGAAACTTCCTCCAAAGGACCCACAGGAGGGGAAGCGTCCCACCCTCACGCCCTGACGCTTACCTCAGAGTCGGGACTGTCAAATGAATCCTCTCCAGAAGGGGACGCGTTGTTTCTGGGCTTCGAGCGAAACCAGCTGAACCAGCCAAACCCTGAGGTCTGGAAGGGAAAGGGGGAGATTCAGGGCCTGCGCGGCTCCTGCCGATAGATTCGCAGCCTCCGTCTGACGGTGGGTTGTCAGAGGCCCAGCCAGAGCCCAGACTCCCAACCTAGCCCCCCCCCCCCGCCAACTTGGGGGTGGGGGGCATCCAAGGCAACAGAACAAGACTCCCACCTTTGTGTTCTCTTTCACATCTCCGGGATTTTCTCTCTGTGCTGGATTTGGGGAGGATTTTTTATCTGCCTCATCGGAGGACTCCTCCTCGACCTCCTTGACTGAAACAGTGGAACTCTCAGAAATGTTCCGTGACCTGGGAATCAGCGGCACCTAGAATTAAAGAAGATAAGAACTAATGTTTTCATAGCACTTGACAGGTTACAAAGGCAAATCGCCAGCCCCGCTCTGTGCCTCAGCAGGCTGGCTTCCCGGGTCACACCTGACCGATGAGGACATCGGGCTGGGCTGGGAAAAGTGGTTTGCGGAAGCTCTTGGGACAAGGCCGGAGCCCAAACCCCCTCCTCACGGTATCCCCAACCGGCTGCGGGTTTGGCTGCCGCGCTAGCTACCTCCCCACATCAGATTTCCAGAACGAGGCCGAGATCTGGAGCAGAAGATATGGAACGCTACCACCAGAGATGAAGAGGGCCAGGAAACACCCTGTGGGGACCCGCACACCCAACAGGACAGAGACTGTGATAACCACAGGCCAGAACTCATCCTAGAGCTCGTTCCTGACAGACTTGCTCAAGATCAAGTGTGAACAAATGTAGCACAGGGAAGCCATGTGCCCACGAGCCTTTCTATTTGTGTGCGTGATAAAGCATACATAGCACAAAGTTTACCAATTTAACTGTTTCTCAGGGTACAATTCAGTGGCATTCGTATATTCACAATGTTGTAGAACCACCACCAGTGTCCATCTCCAGGACACCTAATTAACCTCAACAGAAACTCTGTGCCCAGTAAACACTAACTCCCCACTTTCTCCTCCCCCCGAGCCCCTAATAGCCTCCACCCTTTTTGTCCATGAATTTGCCTGTTCTAGGTACTCCATTTAAGTGGAAAAATACAGTATTTGTCCTTTGTATTATATTTACATTTTATACTCCAAAAAGGCAAAATTGGCACAACCTTTGGAAAATGCTTTGGCAAATCTAGAAAAAGCTTCATTTTTTAAAATTCTGAATATAGAATTTACTGTGTAGTAAATACCTAAGCACTTTATACACAGGGATTCGTTTAATCCTTACAATTGTCCTATGAGGTGGTTACTATTGTTATCATCCCATTTACATAGGAGAAAACGAAGACACAGAAGATTAAGCAACCTAAGGCCACACAGCTAGTAAGTGGCAGAGCAAGGAGTCAAACTTAAGCAGTCAGACTCTCCTTCTAAGAATTTCTCCTGACTGAATAATTCAAGAAATAGCCCAAGCTTACACGTCCATCACTAGAATGTCCACTGCTGTGTTTTGTACATGAGGGGAAGGGAAGGCAATTTGCAGTGAGAGAAAAGAGGAAAGAAAGAAAGAAAAGAGAGATGCACTTGGAATGTTTGACAACGTGGGAGTGGCGAGCGGAACCTGGGGCTCCTTCCCGTGGCCCACAAAGCCCTGTGCAGTCTGGCCTCTGTCGCTCTGGCCTTGCTTCTGAGCCCCTTGCTCCCCACTGTCTGCACACAGCGACTCCTTTGCTCCATCCTTCACAGACCAAGGCAGTCCCATGCCACTTGCTATTCCCTCTGCCTTGAACGCTCGTTCCCTAGACATTGCCCTGGCTCAGGTCTGGCCCCCATTCTGACCTCTGATCCAGGACTCCCCAGAGGTGCCCTTCCTGGCCGCCCCGTCTCAGGTGAAATCCCTCATGCATACAGTTGGTCATCTGCAGTCATCTCCACTAAACTGAAAGCAGGACTTGTCTGGTACCCTGTGTCTCCCCAACCCCGTGACGGTGCTGCAGACACGGCACGACCTCGGGATTTGGGAACAAACGAACGATGGAGCTTTCATACAGTGGACTTTGCTGTACCCGCATTAAAAATCATTTATGGGGCGCCTGGGTGGCTCGGTTGGTGGAGCATCCAACTCTTGATTTCAGCTAAGGTCATGATCATATGAGCCATGAGTTCAAGGCCCATGTCAGGCTCTCTGTTGACAGTGCAGAGTCTGCTTGAGATTCTCTCTCCCTCTCTCTCAGTTCCTCCCTCGCTCATGCTCCCTCTCTTCTTCTCTCTCTCTCTCTCTCTCTCTCAAAATAAATAAATAAATAAAATTTAAAAACATGGAAAACCTCATTTATAGTATTAAATAACAAATAGGAAATAAAACATCATATACACAGTTTACAACACATGAGTGATATTTGGTTATTTATATGACACTTTCTCTTTATTTTTTCTTTTATTTTTTATTGTTACAACAATGATGTACTACTTTTTTAGTCAGGAAAAAAAAGTAGAGCATAAAAGTTTTTTAAGTCCTGTTGGCCTGAGACGTTTTTAGATATGACCACTACTTACATGCTCAAATTTATACAATGTGACCCTCTGATCAGGTAAAGCTGAAGAACCTCTTAAGTTTGGGACCTGTGATGCCCATTGTTGGGGGAAGGGTGCTTTCATTCGACAGCTGGACAGAATGGCCAATTAGACATGGCCAAGAACTTGCAGCCTAAATAAGGAGAAAAGACACAGCTGGGGCACCTGGGTGGCTCAGTCAGTTGGGCGTCTGACTTCAACTCAGGTCATGATCTCATCATCTGTGGGTCTGAGCCCCACGTCAGGCTCTGTGTTAACAGCTCGGAGCCAGGAGCCTGCTTTGGATTCTGTGTCTCCCTCTCTCTGACCCTGACCCACTCACTCTCTGTCTCTCAAAAATGAGTAAACATTAAAAAAACTTTTTTTAAAAAAAGAAAAGACACAGGTGCCATGGATCCCTCTTGGGGAAAAAAGCAAGGTAAAAATTACAGTAAAGAAAGAAGCATCAGAGGCTCCCATAACAGGATAGGACATGGGCAGTGTTTGGTGGGACAGTAAAGGGAGGGTATGAGAGATCTCAGAGGCCACGACTAAACCCAGTCCTGCCCCTCCTCCCCACATGGGCACCTGTTGGTGGGACCAAACAGAAACAAGAATACAGCCCTCCTTCCCACCACTAGGATCTGGTGTAGCAAGAAACAAGGAGAGACAGGGTGCGATGTGGAAGGGAGAGGTGGGGCCAGGCAGAAGAAGGAGTGTGCACATGGCTACGATATCTGGGCAAATGGAAAAAGCCTGACGCATTCACGTAGGCATCCGTGTCTGCTGGGCTTTGCGCTCTCACCTGGGGTTTGGAAACAGCCTTTTGACCATCGGGATGCTGGAAACCTCCTTGAGATACTGTATTCTCTGCTATGGCACAAAACACAAACACAGTGATTTGAACTTGTGCTTTTCCCATCTAGTCTGAAGAAGGAACAGGGATGCTGTCAGCTTTTTTGACATCTCAGCCTACCCAGTCCAAACCAACCAGATCATGTAAATGCAAAGTCCACGGGCACAACTCTCTTGATTCCAGCCACCTGACCTCTACCCTGTTGGACATGTTGGTCACCTGACCTCTACCCTGAACGAAGGCTACTCCTCGGAATCCTGGAAACCTGGGCCACATGCAGCTAGAACGCAGGGCTCCTCCCTGACCTTCCCCTCCATTTGAGCTTCCTGTTTTGGACGGGACCTTATCTAAGAAGGTCTACGATCTAATCCTCCTGTTTGGGTGCCAGCATTCGCTTGGTGTGACTCAGCACTGCTCACCACACTCGGCCCCTCTGCCTCCCTTCACCACACTTGGGTGCAGGGGGCACTTTCCTCCTTTCTCCGCCCTGCAGCCCCTCCCCTAGGAACTCTGCATCCAAGAGGAGGGCAGCAGTGACCGCTCGAGCTTCACTATGCTTGTCCCGTGGAGAGGCAGACTGCAACAGGAGGGCAGGCCCTCAGAGGCATGCAAAGCCCCAGCCTCAGGGCTACACATGGTAGACCCTCAGTCAGGTGCACACCCACCATTCAGGGCTTGATCAGCTCTGACCCCACCTCCCCCCACCTCTGACCCCATCCACCTCCACCATCTGCTTCCTCCCCTTCGAAACTCCTCAGCCCAGGCTTCCAGCCTAGCCAGCAGGTCTTACCAGGAGGTGGATGTATCTGCTGGGTGTCTTCCCCGGCTCCTCCTCCAGGAGTCCCTGTCACGGCCGTACAGCCACCAGTCCCTGGCAGGTAGACCTCAGGAACCGAGTAAAGAGGCACGGAGACCCCCATCTGCCCCACACCCCCTCCTGCTGGACAGGAACCGGGCTGGTGGGGAATGGGCTGCTGTGAGCTGGGCTGGCCTGGGCCCATCTGCTCAGGTGTTGGCCACAAGGCTGAGCGGTCCCCAAGGGCTTTTGAGTGGCTCTGGTGTCCCAAAAGATCATGGTAGAAAGAGTTTTCTAAGGACATAGGGCAAAAAAGAAGGACTGAGACTTGCATTGTGGCATCAGCAGGACCCATCACACCAGGGTCAGTCCTGCCCATGTCCTCTTTGGGAAGCAGTCACAAGGACAGGCCGCTTGATGTGGCTGCCATTAATGTGATGACAAATACAACACAGCAGTGACTGTAACAAGTGTCACTCACTGCTTGTGACTTAGAGTTTACAAAATTATTTCACTCACTGCCTTGTATGATCTCTGAGCCTGAACCAGTACATCAGGTGGATAGAAATCACTGCCTCATTTCACTCTACACTTTTTTATTTGGGGGTAAACTTTCTCCTTCAAGGATTTCCTAATGGACTTGGGTGTTTGAAACTTAGAAAGTTCCCATTAAAACCCAAATCAGGGGCACCTGGGGAGCTCAATCGGTTAAGCGTCTGACTTCGGCTCAGGTCATGATCTCACAGTTCGTGGGCTCGAGCCCCGCGTCAGGCTCTGTGCTGACAGCTCAGAGCCTGGAGCCTGCTTCGGATTCTGTGTCTCTGTCTCTCTCTGCCCCTCCCCCCACTCACACTCTGTCTCTCTCTCAAAAATAAAATAATATTTAATAATTAAAAAAAAAGACACATCAGACCACAGAAATGACGGAGAACATCAGCCCTGGAAATGAATGTGGGGGGTTCCTTCTGGCTCTCCTACTTTGCTAATGAGACGGCCTGTGGTATGGACACATGCAATGACTTGCCCACGGTCACAGGGCCAGCGGGGCTGCTGTCCCACATGCTCAACTGGGTGAGAATGGACAGAGCTGCTTCCCAGCAGAAAAGCCCTGGCATGGTTCCCCTCCAGGCCTCCACCACAACACAGCAGCAAAGCCGAGCAACAGAAAGCACGCCCGCCTTCCTCACCTTCCCCCAGCTCATCCCAGAAGGAGGTGCCAGCGGGTGGGAAACGGCTGCAAATGAAGAGATGACACCCTGTCCTGACCCCACCCTAGGTAGAGGACAGTGGTCACTGGAGGAAAAGACCCAGCACTAATGGGGTAATAATGTCCGCCCGACCCAGCACTCAGGGGCATCCCGAGGGCAAAGGAGAGATGTGCTGGCGACACTTTGAAATGTCTGTCACATGTCTGTAGCAACTGTTAGCTCAAAAATCAAAACTGATATCTCAAAAAAATCTTCCTATGTCTCCAACACCTGCATGAAATACAGATGACCCACCATGTCGGGCCCGAGAAGCACATCAGCTGGGGAGAAGGTACGAAGGCAGGTGAAACAAGGACATCACAATACAACACGGTGAGTATTAAAACCTGAATGTGAAGCAGAAAGTAAACATGAGGGCACTTGGAGGTGTCGGGGTGGCTGTGGCCGCACGGAGCTGTGGGGACGAGGTGCCTGGGATGATGGGTCGGATTTGTACAGGCAAGGAAGTGCCCCCAGGAAGGGCCAGGTGAGTGTTTCCTAAGTTCTGTTGTCTCTGCGATCAAGCCTGAGAGGCAGCCACGGGCACACTCAGGTCACCTGCCTGGGTACCTGTTCCTCCGGCTCCTGAGGCGTCTGGGTGAGCAGAGCGAAGGTCCCCAGTGTCTCCTGCTGCCTTCTGCTATTAAACACAAAGTAAAATCTTTTTAAGCCGCACAAAGAAAAGCAAGAACAGGGAACAATGGTTTAAATTTAAGTCAAAGGGTGCCTGGGTGGCTCAGTTTGCTAAGCGTCCGACTTTGGCTCAGGTCATGCGCTTGCTGCTTGTGGGTTTGAGTCCTGCACTGAGCTCTGTGCTGACAACTCAGAGCCTGGAGCCTGCTTCAGATTCTCTCTCTCTCTCTCTCTCTCTCTCTCAAAAATAAAGAAACATTTTTTAAAAATTTTAAATAAAAATTAAGTCAAAAAGAAACTTCAGAGGGTATGGGAACCTGGACTGGCTGCTGAGGGCTGGTGGGAGGCCTCAGCCCTGCTTCTCTCCTGGGTGTGCTCACAGCAGCCAGGGACCAGCATCTCCCATCGGCAAAGGGAAACGCCCCAGGGCCCCGTGTGTGCAGCACACAGGAGTCAGGGCCGTGTGCGCCTTGAAAAATCCACCCTCTCCTGTCGTTAGAGAGAGTGGAAGAAAGAAAATGGAGGCAGCCCTGTTCCAATTACTGGTACAATTACTACCAGCCGCTTTTGCAGTTGTCAGGACAAAAAGGAAAGGCCCGGAAATCTTTTAAGCAATTGCCCTACATTACATGAAAGTGACACGGGCCCACTGTGATCCGTTCCTAACAGAGAGATGAAAGCTTTCATGCTCATAAATGTATCTTCTCGGACCACAGACAAGGGTGATTGGCAAGAGGGCCCCAGGGCCTCACAGGCAAACCCAGGAAACCATCTCCGCCCGAGAGGGAGACAACAGCTGGGAGGCTGAGTGCCACCCCTTTCTGGGTTCGCATCTCGCGAATGATGGGGGACTTCACGGCCCTCCGTGGGGTCAGGGACTTGCCGAGGTCAGTGCTCTGTTCCAGGGGAACAAAGAGAGAAACAGAGGCCTCAGCCCCTGGCCCAGCTCCAACCCCACTCACCGCCAGCTCCTCGCATCTCCTCCGAAGGTGCACCAGCCAGTCTGGCTCCGCGTCCCTGTCTCCGCGTCCCTCTACAACCAAGGGATCTGACAGCTTCAGTTTCTCCGCAAGCTGCTCCAGGTTCCCCACAGGGTCAGGGGCGAAGGTGACAGAGGGGAAAGGAGACAGAGACGATGGGGCAAGAGGCAATGGGGGAACAGAAGAAAGACAGTCTTAACTCCCTTGCAAATTGGATTACAAAGAATCATTGAGAGGTAGCAAATTCAGCAGATACCTTCCTGAGATTGCAACGTAAATAAACAATTAACCCATCTTGGTGTTAGATATTCAGTAAAATACAAGAAGGAACTGTTACCCAGCTTTAAGTCTCTGCAGAGCTGTCTGCTCTAAGCAGTGCTTCTCACACTTCGGTGCCCCTAGGCATCACCTGGACAGTTGCTAAAATGCTAATTCCGATCCCGGAATTCCAGCGGTGGGGCCGGTGAGGGGGGCGCACGAGCAGCGCCTCCATTCTGGGTCCCTGAGCTCCCTACATTTCGGGGGCAGGGGCGCCAGCATCACAGATTTTATTGGCTGCAGAATCCAAGTTGGGCCTTGTCTAAAGCAAAGCAAGAACTGACAACAGGCTGTCACTCTCCAGCTAATGGATGTTTCTTCAGTTAACTGGAACAACTATTTACCCGATCATTTTCCTCCAGTGGAACTACACGTTGATACGTTATGTTTTCTTTTTGAAACGTACCCCTCATGTGATAAAGTATTCCATGCATTTAAAGGCGTTTTAATAAGGATCATTTCCCATTTTAATCACTAAAATATATTTCCTAAGTCCAGCATTTATAATTAGAACAGCTCACCGTAACGTGTGGTTTTACTGTCCCAGAAAAGCAGATGCAAGAATAGATTCCTGGCAGAGCACACGCCTGCTCTCCAGCCGGCAATCCCACCACCCCCACCCACTGCCTGCTTCTTTGCGAGGTGTCAGGACTCTGCTTATCACGCCTGGGCATGCGTACGTGGTCAAAGACAGCCATGGGCTCCAATTTTCCAGCATGTTCAAAGGAGATGGGCTGTGGAGTGTAAGCTGCTCTAACAATAGCTTTCTCTGAACACCGAAGATAAAACACCTGCAGAGGACCCTTTGAGAAACTCACCTTGATGAGTTCCACTAATAGCACAGGGTGATTGCTCTCTCCTTGGCTAAGGAGGGCCGTGCCAATGGCTTCGCAGTAATGCAAGGCCTGGGACGTGAGGCCAAAATCTGCCAGCCGGGAAGCATAAAGGAGCTTGTACACCTGTGGAGAGGAGCAGGGCCAGTGACTAGTCCTTCCGGGCAGGGATAGAAGGAGAGAAATGTAGATAAGACTTCCTGGAAGTCAGCTGATTGCCAGCTTCCGCTAACTCTGGCATCCAAAATATCAAGGAGGGCCTCACACCACTTGGTTTACTCTCTCTGGGTACGGGCACGATTTCAAATCCAGCCTGCACGTCATGCATCTTTGAGAAAGGGATGGGAGTCACCTCAGTTTAGTCTCTGTAGACCTAGTCACCATGGAAATGCACTACTTCCTTCTCATCAGGAAGCCCACATTTCTGGAAAGCCTGGTACACGTGGAGCATAGGACCAGGGAAGACATACAAAAGAAGAAGGAACGATTCTGATGCGGGCAGACAACTATTCACAGAAGCATGAGTGGCAGAGCAAGATGGAGGCATGACAATTTGGGAATCAGACAGGCCCAGCTTCAAATCCCAGCTTTCCGCTGGGTGCGTCACATTGCGCAGGTTACCACACCTCCCTGTGCCTCAGTTTCCTCACTATAACATGGGAGGGAGGAAATACTCAACAAATACTATTCACCCACTGGGTGTTGTAAAGATTAAATGAGATAATCCATGTAAAATTCTTAGAACAAATGGGACGTGAGAGATAGGAGTTCACAGCATGTAACTCCTCTGAGCCTCAGTTTCCTGTTTTGTCAACGGAAGGCAGCCATGCCCACCTCACTGGGTTAGAAATAATACACTCAAAGCACAGTAGCACATAGAGCACACTCGTTGGAGCTAACTAATCCCCTTCCTGTCTGCCCAACGTGACTGAAAGGTAGGACGACCAAAGAAGGACCAAAGAGAGAGAAGACCTGTTCCCAAAGGAGCCGGTCGGCTGGGCTTTGCTAGGGAGAGTTTTAGGTAGAACAATGAAGGAAAATACTGACAGGTCATTATACACTAATTCCGTCATTTTCAAGCATTTTTGTGCTTTTTGTCTCGTGGGCTGTGAGTGTGTGCTCGCGCGTTGCCAGGCGCACTCTCCACACGGGCACTGAAGGAGTCTTATGAATTGGAGGTGACATCAGGCCGTCGAGCGGAGAAGTTGAGAGAAGAGCAGAGCCTGCAGAGGCCACCTGCACAGCTGAACCCAGACAGGATGACGGAAGTGTGAGGGCAGGGACAGAGCGGGAAAGAACTTTCAGAGCTAGGAGACACGGGGGTCCCAAAGAGATGCGAGGAGCACTCAGAAGGGGGAAGCAGGCTGGGCAATGCCCCCCCTCCCCGCCCCTGCCCCCCGCAGGGTGGCCAGCCTGGCCCGGGAGAAGGGACTACTGTTTGCGGAGAACGGAAGTTGCTGCGGGGCAGGTGCGAGGGGCAGGGCCCCAGGACACGGGCTAATTTCCATTTGTTCAGGCGCCAGGCAGGAGCAACCAGCAACAGCGGCTGCTGGACTGATTGGCTTTCACATCTTAAATGCAGGCTTTTAGGGGACCTAGAAAGAAATCCTAACTCTTCCCACGCTCAAGCTAACGAAGACAAGTGCTGCAGATGACTTCGCCCAGCTACCCTGTGCCAAATAGCAACGCTGCGGTCATCTGACGCAGCCACGGTGCTGGCCTCGTGGGTTCAGTTACCTGGAAAGAAGGGATGAAGGATTTGGGGCGGCCCAGCATCTGACAGTACTCGAAGATTTCCGTCCTCTGGATAGCCTCGGTTGTTGCAAATTTCAAAAACTCTTGACTACAACCAGGGAATAACAATAAAAGAAATTGAGGGGTGGGGGAGGGAGGAACTTAGGTCCTAGTAGACAAGCACCAGCTGACCCGAATGTGCTAGGGCTCCTGCCCCGGACTGATCCCTGGGGCGGCCCCAAGACAGGAAAGAGACTGGGGGCCTCCGGAGTGAATGTTTTGCCTCCTCCTGCTCCTCCTTGGGGCCTGGAAGGAACAGAGCAGAGCCCTGCACCAGAGGTGCAGAAAGGGGGGGTTCTCCACCTTCTTTGCTGGAGGTTACCTAAGCAAACAGCCCTTCCTCTCCCTCAGTGGGGCACTAGGCTCCTCTTGAATGATGAGAACAAACTGAGGACTATGGGTGTGGGGGGGTGGGGGGAGACGAGCATGGAGGAGGGCACCTGTGGGGATGAGCACTGGATGTTATATGGAAACCAACTTGACAATAAACTATTTGAAATAAATAAATAAATAAATAAATAAAGGAAAAATTCTGCCTAATAAAAAAGTTTGAAAAAAAAAAAAAACAAAAAACCATGCTGAGAGCTAACCTTAGTGCCCTGAAGGCCTAGACGGTGCATCTATATGCAAGGCCATTCCTGGCCCGAACAAAAGAGCACCAGAGAGAGTGTGAGGGCACCAGAGAGCACCGAGAGAAGAAGGCATGGCCAAGAATGGTGAGCCCAGGGGCTCCCACACCCCCCGCCAGGGCCCCGACAGCTTGGAGTGCTGTTTGAAATCACGGTCACCACGGTTATCTCCAGAGATGTCCTCGTACGATATAAACATAGGAGGGAGATGAATTAATCCGTGCGCATGTATTGTCACATTTGGCACAGATGCGCTTCTCTGACAAGCCCACCGTGTGCGGTCAGAGACCGCCATCCGGAGAGAGCCGGCCATGCCTGTGTGTTTCCACAGAGGTAGGCAGTTTGGCGCAACAGTCAAAAGTAAGGGCTTTGCAGCCTCACAGCCTGGATTCCAAGGCCAACGTGACCGCAGGCCAGCTGTGCCATCTTAGATTAGTTATTTAACCTCTCTGTGCCTTGGTTTCCCTCCTCTCTAAAGTGAAGATTAAGCATATACTTTATTCATAGGGCAAATTTGTAATGATTAAAGGAAAGAGTGCAAATAAAATGACTGGCACAATGTAAAAGCTTAGGATACATTAAATATTACAGGGAGGGGGGAACAGACATCCAGCATGGAGAACTGCAAGGAAGCAAACTGGTCTTTTTGTCCATGTACTCATTGTCTACAGGCTTATTAATATCCTTCTGTGTGCAGGGGAGCCTGGGTGGCTCAGCTGGTTAAGTGGCCAACCCTTACTTCAGCTCAGGTTATGATCTCACAGCTTCGTGAGTTCGAGCCCCGCATTGGGCTCTGCGCTGATGGTGCGGAGCCTGCTTCAGATGCCCCCTTTCTCTCTGCCCCTCCCCCACTCGCAATCTCTCTGTCTCTCTCAAAATAAACAAACTTTTTTATAAATATTTTTTTTAATATTTTTATTTATTTCTAGGAGAGAGAGAGAAAGACAGCGTGAGCAGGGGAGGGTCAGAGAGAGGGAGTCACAGACTGAAACAGGCTCCAGACTCAGAGCTGGCAGTCAGCACAAAGCCAGACGCGGGGCTAGAACCAACGAACCACGAGATCATGACCTAAGCGAAAGTCGGACGCTTAACCGACTAAGCCACCCAGGCGCCCCAAAATAAACAAACTTTTAAAAAACTCCGTCTGTGTGAAAAGCCTCATGTTATGGCCAACAAAGAGTAAGTAACAGGCTGGACTTTGAGGAGCTTGTGCATCTTCAGTGTAGGGATGTGAGGAGTAAACATAAACTTCCAATTTCCAGTTCTGCCCGGGGCTGACTCTGAAAGCCCAGGGCTGCCTAACACTGAGTCTCCAAGCCACCCTGATCGCACTGACGTTTCCTGAGATGACGTCCGGTCATGGAGCCAGGGCGCCATCAAGTGGTCAGAGGGGGACAATACACCCCAAAGACCCACAGGCAGTTTTGGGAAGCAGGACTGGGGCCTGAGGCCCCCTGTTGGCGGGATGCGGCTCCCACCCGGCACCTCCCTTCCCAGATCTGTGCAGAACAGTCCCAGAGGAGGGGAGCAGCCGTAGCTGAAATTCACTCAAGAAAATGGAGCCATGAGACCCAGCAAGGCCTCCCTAAAACATTCCCCTGGAAAACGTCCTTCCCGGTCCCTTTCCCCCAGGAGACCGCGTACCTGTGGCTGCTGCCAAGCAGGGCCAGATGGTCTGTCTTCACGGTGTAGTGGCCGAAGGGCACGTGAGCCACGAGGTAGCAGAAGTGAGCGGCCTCCACCAGCCCCTTCGCAGCTGCAGGAGGAGAGCAAGGCCCAGTCACAGGACATGGCTGTGTGGAGACCCGCCCTCTGGGCCCGTGGGAGAGAGATGGCAAAAGGGGCTCGGAGGTCAGAGGGGAGAATCCTCGAGGGAGTGAAGGAGGCAGTGAGTCACGTCAAAGTCGCTGGTCCCAAACCACACTCCCCCCTCCCACCAGCATTTTTGGCTTCGGACACGTTATGTTTCAATTCTCTTCAGCCAGAATACATCACTGGTTCCTGTCCCCCTGATGTATTTGTAATTAGGGATTTTCTAAGCATTTTGCTCCTTCTTGAGGGTGAAAAAAGAGCAGATGCCTACACCTGAGCAAAGAGGTAACTGGTTTTAAATTAGGCTCCTTGGGGCACTAATGCTTCTCCTGCTAAAATCAAACAATAGAAAACTTTCCCCAGGACTCATAAAAACCACCAATAATGACTAGCCTGTTCCCACTTTCAGACTGTTCTTCCATACATTTTCCATTACCTCAAAATGAATTAATTCACGTAGGTGACACACCCAGCACAGTGCCAGGTGCCCAGAGGTTAGAAAACCGCTTCCCTTTCTAACCATTGGCTGCGGACCCACCTGCCATCTGACTTGGCACAAGGCTGCACATCGCTCTCTTCGGTTGAACAGAGCATATTTCACAAAGTTAACAGAGAGTATCATGATTTCTAGGGCGTTCAGTCCCTTGACCAAATTTGAGAGCCGCCGATCTGGAACATTCTGGAGCCCCTAAGTGTTTGTAAAGGAATGTTCACTGAGAGATAATAGAGGTGAAGACTACACGATTACCCAGGGTAGTTCAGGCAAAAAGAGAATTTCCTATCTGGCTAAGCTGGGCCGCCATGCGAGTAACCGTAACAGGAGGCAAGGGTCCCCGTGTGTGAGCTCCGTCTTGGGGGTAATCTGACCAGGGGTAGAAAACCAGCGGCTGAGGGGAGACTCCGCAGAAAACAGCCTGAGTCTCTGGGGCCTGGACTACAGAAATCTGGGAAATGGAGAAGCAAGAATGACGCTCCTTTCCCTGCAGCTTCTGTCCCCCAAACATGGAGGCCGGAGGTCAGAGGAAAGCCTGAGGCACAGAGGCCCCGCACAGAACCTAAGAGCCTGAGGATGGATGTACAAAGGGGCCTGGACACAGCCTAGAGGAGAGGAGGGGGCTAGGGGTGGCTTCTGCTTACCCAGGGTGTCCCCCATGGTGACAATTGTGCGCTGATTCAGCTCCAGGTCCCCACCCTGATTCGACAGAATCACAGCCAAGTGAGGCCTCCAGTCTCCCCACTGCTTGTCCCCACAACACTGGAAGGCAGCAGAAAATGGGAGATTTACTGGCTGAAGGATCACGGGCCACAACGTAGATGCAGAACGTCCTTGTCTGTCTCTCGGTTTACAGTTCGGGGAAGGCTGGCTTCTGCGGTCTGCGGGGCTGCCGGTCACTGATTTCCAGATCTCCTTTTCAGAAAGCAAGACTCGGGGTGCCTGGGGGCTCAGTCGGTTAAGCGACTGACTCTTGATTTCTGCTCAGGTCATGATCTCACAGTTCACGAGTTCAAGCCCCGCTTTGGGCTCTGCACTGATTGTGCAGAGCCTGCTTGGGATTCTCTCTCCCTCTCTCTCTGCCCCTCCTCTGCTCTCTCACTCTCTCTCTCTCTCAAAATAAATACATAAACTTAAAAAAAGAAAAAGAAACAAGGTTCCCAGAAGGATGGGTAGGCAGACAGAACACATAAACATACATGCATTTACAGGAACCTCAACTGATAGGGAAATAAAATGACACTATGGATCACTTAACTGATTTTCAAATTTCTCCGTGGTACCCCTAAGCCCAACAGCTAGGGACAAAATCCAAAAACAGAAAACAAAACAAACCCTGATGTTGCAGTGGGAGAAGGAAGACCAAACATCCTGGGCTCATATGAAGAATCCACATTAGCCTGTTGGAAGTCGGGGCAACCCTATGCCCCCTGGTACCTTACCAAATGGCTGTGTTTCCTGGTTTTACAAAGGCCTTTCACACACTTCACCTTAGTTAATTTTCACAACCCTGTTAAGTCGAATTCCTATGGCCACTTGAAGAAGGAGGAAAGCAGGCCAGGTGGCCCAGCCCAGTACCCAGTCGGTTCACCTTGCTCCCAGCCAAGGACTCTGCCCTCTCCCTCTGGGGACAATGCAGGGACATCAGAAATCCACAAGGGGGCAGCAGGGTGCACACAGAGCCCTGCAGGTGGGGAAATCACCCCACACAAACCATGGGGCTTGGGCTTCCCTCCTCCTGAATGAAGGGGAATTTTAGGACAGGAAATATCTATAAAGAAACAATGGAACAGAACAGAGACAACCCAGGCCCTGGATTCAACTGGCATCCTGCCTCTTACTAGCTGTGTGACCTTGAGCACGTTTCTCAGAACCTTTTTTCCTCATCTCTTAAGTGGAGATCATAATTTCTACCTAACAGAGTTATTGTTGATAATAAAATAAGATAGCTAGGTGATACGCATAGCATAGTGCTTTGCACTTAATTTGTTTGCCCTATATAAATTATACGTAAGTGCGTATACACAGACGTACACACACACACACACACACACACACACACACACACACACGGAAGCCCAGCAAAAGGGAAGAGGTGATTTGCAGGCCAGTCCATCTCCCAGTTTGTTACATGGAGTGAGTAGAGCAAAAGATTGACAGTAATCGCTAAGATTTGGAAGTCAAAATAATTCCTAATTATTTGGTCTTTATAATTATCCCCAGGAACAAAAGATGTTTTATCCAACTCCATTTTGTAGTTGCTCTTTGTTTATCTGGGTGATGCAGTGTGAATGAGGGTGATGATGATGATGAATCTCAAGAATAGCAGTTCTCACTCATTGCACTCTGACCGTGAACCATATCTGCTGCTAAGCGCTTCTCCGTGAACGATCACACACATTGGGTACTATTATTATCCCCACATAAGCCAGGCCCTTTCTCACTGAAACGAAAGGAACAAGCAAAGGAAAAACCCTTGCTGAAAAGAACAAACATGTAGAAGTCATCCTGCTGTCTCTTGCCCAGGTGATTTGACAAAAATCATTGTAAAACAGATATATGGAGAGAAAGACTTGACTTGACTAACCAACGGGTCAAGCATGGTGGTTGATATGCTCAGATATTCTCTCTCCTTTACTCTTCACAATAACTCTCTTGGTTAGGCATCAAAATGCCCACAAAGAGGAAAACCTGAGGCTCTGAGATTAAGTAAAAAGGCCAAGTTCACACAGCAGTAAGGAGCAAGCTCTGGTTAAACCTGGGATAGAAGCCTACGTCTGGGTTTTCTGGCCACCGTGCCCTTTCCACTCATTCCAAGCAACTAACGACCCGCCTTTTCCTGGGTGTCACGATGCAGGATGCTCTCAGACACTAAGACCAAATACTGCATTGGTGCATCACCTTGACTCCTTGTTTTCTCAACTAAATGCAGGAAACATTTAGCTAACTCTACCCTTGCAGTGAGACCCAATGGACCATACACTGATCACATCATTTCCTGCGTTTAGTCCTTTGCGACATGATGCAATGTCCTGGCAGTGTGCGACCGTCCACTGAACTGTGAGCACTCCGTGTTCCAGGACAGCCAGTGGGTTTGACAATGGGGTGTGAAAGTCATCATCTCTCTTTCCCTTTCTAGGAATCATCCCCAAGCAATAAGAACAGAAAAGCAAAAGTGTGAAGTCCATTTTCATTAAAACTGGGTGTCAAGAAAAACCCAAACCTCAAAAACGCAAGAAAAGGCTGCCAAACGTAGTGGAGATTGAACAGAGTGAGTGCAGGAGGAAGCAGAGAGAGAATTCCAGAAGGAGAGGATCCTCCAGCCATCTCTGCTGGTTTAGGAGAAGGAAAGGCTGCATAGATACCCACAGAACCCTCCAGATCATGCAGGAAATGCCAGAGAGCCTGCAGTGTGGCCCTGGCCCCTTGACCCAGCACAAACCTACCAGAAACTACGGGCCCAGGGAAGACTCAACTCCTGTCAAGGAACAAGGACAAAATCTATACAAATACATGCTAAAGACAGAAGGAGGGAAGTGATATGAAAAATAAATGGAAGGTAGAAAGAAGATTCACTGGAAAATGTTACCACAAAACAAACAAGTATCACCAAACATTTCATTACGAATTTATTTATTTATTTATTTATTTATTTATTTTTAAATGTTTTATTTATTTCTAGGAGAGAGAGAGACAGACAGCGTGAGCAGGGGAGGGCCAGAGAGAGAGGGAGTCACAGACTCTGAAACAGGCTCCAGGCTCTGAGCTGGCAGTCAGCACAGAGCCCGACGCGGGGCTCAAACCCACAAACCGCGAGATCATGACCTAAGCGAAAGTCGGACGCTTAACCAACTAAGCCACCCAGGCGCCCCTCATTACGAATTTAAGTAAAATCATGAAACTTCTTCTGTGAAGCAAGGGCATTATCACTAACACTAAGTGACAAGAACTAAGTGACAGTGAACAACAGGAAGAAGCAAATGTGACCTGCAGAGGTCAGGGGGAGGTGAGAGAAAAATGAGAGACATTAAGATAAAAACAGAAACAGCACAAAAATGAAGAGACAGTGTTTCTTTCATCAATATGAAAATACAGTAAGGGACACGTAGGTTAGAAATGAGAAAAGAAAAAGAAGAAGAGGAGGAGGAGGAAGAAGAAAAAGAAGAAGAAGAAAAGGAAAGAAGAAAGGAAGGAAGGGAAAGAAAGAAGGAAGGAAGGAAGGAAGGAAGGAGGAAAGAAAGAAAGAAAGAAAGAAAGAAAGAAAGAAAGAAAGAAAGAAATTTTAATTAAAGAGAAAATGATGTATATATAATCTGTATATCCAAATTTATATAGTTCATTTATATATATATATGAAATGTGCACATATGGAATTCCTGGAAAAAACCAAGATAATAGAACAAAACAAATATTGAAGGATATAATTAAAGAAAACTTTCCTGAACTGTAAAATATGAATGCACATGGTAAAAGAGCATGCTATGTCCCAAGGAAAAGTGACCCTGACAGTGAATAACAAGATATATCCTGGTAAAGTTACTAGACCTCAAAGATAAAGAAGGATACCTTGGGGCAAAAAGATAAAACCTGTTCTCATAGGAAAACTATCACGCTGGCCTCAGAGCTCTCCCGAACCATCCCCAACTCTAGACAACATGAAAGATCTACCGTGTCCAGCTTTGCAGGATGGATGTGCAGGGGGAGAAAGGAATGGCGGCCTGGCTGCAGGAAGCCTGGGAACAGTGGCGTTCTCGGGCTATCCATGCACACAAAGCAGGCAGCTATGGTATTGTGAAAAGGGCAAGGTTTTTAGAATCAGACAGACCTGAGCCAATCATGGCTCCACAACTCCTAGCTCAGTGATCTTGGGTCATTTTACACCTTTGCACCTCAGTTTCCTCATCTGTAAAACAGGGGTAATAATTCCTTCCTCTGTGCATTAAATGAGATAATATGAATGAATCAAAGTGCTTAGCACAGGGCCAGGGGCATGGTAGGAGATTAACGAACAATTATTACTTATTTTTAATCTTTAAAGTCATCACCTCATTCCTGAGCTGTCCCCAGCCCCCCCAAACCCCCAGGATGCTGGGGTATGGAAGGGGGTCTGTTGCAAAGAGTACCGTGGCTGCCTGTGGGATCCTCCCTGACATGAGCTGGAAGAGGGTCTGCAGCGGGTCGTTGGGCGCCAGCGTGCTGGTGAAGCTGCAGAGAGAGGTGACCGTCAGTGGGGACCAAGTCAAGAGAGCCTTTGACCCATTGCCAGCAGGACAACCCCCCACCTCGCCCCGTCAATCCCTATTTGATTTCAGCAGCTTCTTTCAGAACATGAATTTCTCCTCGCTTTTCTGCTGTGCCTGTGCTTAGCTCCCCTCGACTTCCAGTCCCCTGAAGCGGCTCCCTTCGTGCCACTCCCACAGCCTCCCCAGCTGGTTTTCTGGCTCATGACTAACCTGGGTCTACAGTGCTTTGACTCATATGCACTAAATAGCCATTTTCAGTAACCAAAGAGGTGTAGAACAGGGACCAGAAATGATCTTCCTGATGACAAACCGTGGGATATGCTTAACAAGGATATAATAAGCTCTATAGCTGATTTGAGATTTTAGCATACCCAGTAAGAGATATTTTTCACCATTCACTGGGCCCCATCAAAAATCAATGGCCCAAGGCAAAAATCTGTGGCAGAGATGTATGCTCTGACGTGGGGTCGTGGGATGTTCATTCCCAAAACCCAGAGAAAAATCACCCCTCGGAACACGGTCTTTTATTTAATAGCACGCTTGCCTCGGGAGCTCAGAGCGCTTATCGTAATAAAACTCCAGTGCTCCTCACCCTCCTGAACATAATGAAGTGCGCAGAGGCAGTACTAGTCCCTGGGAAGACGGAGGGTTAGCGTAGAAGAGAGACTCCACGGAGGCTGTGGTGGAGATGGGTAGTGTGACAGCCTTGAAGGGAGGTGCCATCGTCTCAGCCATCTGCCCAACAGTCAATTTATGGCCAATTTAAACTTAAGTCAAGCTGAGAGGTTCACAGCTTCACAGCTTCAACCAACACAGGAAGATGAACGTTTTGAGGGAACATTCTTCTCACAGTCCGATCCAAGCCTGCCCCTTAGGGGAGGGCCCTGCCGACCCACAGATCTGGCGGAGGTGAGAGGCTTACTCAGGAGCCCTTCTCCAGCACCCCCTATCCCCTCCTCCATTTAATCCCCTTATTCCAAACTCCCGGCTCTATGTAGTCAGCCTCCATTCCTGTCTCGTCCTGATAGGGGCATTCTTCCTGGTGCTGGTGTGCGGCATGATCTCCGACTAAACACGTTCCTTCATTCTCATCATGTCCCCTGCCCTGGATGAAGACTTCTGCTTCTAATCCCCAGTCCTATAAAGTCTGTTCCCAGCACAGCTCTTGCTCCCCCGTATCCCTACCTTCACCTCAGCGTCTGCATCCCCCGCCACAAGTCTCAGTGATAGACAACTACTAACTCTCAGACCTAAAGCTCTGTCAGTTAACCCTAAGTGGTCACCTATTCCCTCCCTGATGGAACAATCTAGAACAGCCCCTCCCAAAGAAAACCACTGGATTGTAGAAACCTATGTAATTTTTGGAAACTCAGCCCCTGGGAAATATTACTAAACTGTTTATTTGACACGGCAGGTAGAAAGAATGTGTCCGTGTCTAGGTTATAAGAATCTGGAGAAGTGATATGTTACGTCCCAGTCAGAAAGGAAAAATTGGAAGGATGGTTGGTGTGTAGGGCTTCCCAGCGCATCCTGCATCGCCCCCCCCAACCCCTCCCTTGGTGGGGGTATGCCTCACTGCCCCTTAGGTCTTCTTCTTTGCCAGTGCCCCACTCACCCACTCATAACCCAGCTGTAGGTCCTTGGGTCCATCTTGCTGGAGAGGAACAAAGCATGGCCCCACAAGTGGTTCCTCATGGCCCACTCCAAGGCTTCCTGAAAACAAAAACATATCACATTCAACATGGCCCTATTCACCTTCCTACCAACAACAGTCGGTGGTTGGGTCCAGCTGCCCCTGAGCCTGCAGGCTGGGCTCCCAGAAAGAGTCAGTCTCATCTGTGAGTGGAACAAAGGAACAGTGGTGCGTATTTCTGTCCAAGTTGTCGCTACTCCAGCCTTCACTTTATCAAATCCATTCTGCTAATTCATCAGCTGCCCCTCAGACATAGGTCCCAGTTAGCCTTACCTCTCTAGCAGAAGTCACATGATACTTTTATGAACCTAAGCACCCAACACGGGAGAAGCACCACACCCCACGGACTGAGTCTCATAATACAGGGAGCAAGATGATATTCGTGGGGGCATGTTACAGGAATGGTTTCTTTTTTTTAAATTTTTTAATGTTTTTTTAAAAATTTTATTTCTGTGAGAGAGAGACAGCATGAGCAGGGGAGGGTCAGAGAGAGAGGAGACAGAATCTGAAACAGGCTTGAGCCTCTGAGCTGGCTGTCAGCACAGAGCCCGACGTGGGGCTCGAACCCTCGAACCGCGAGGTCATGACCTGAGCCGAAGTTGGACACTTAACCGACTGAACCACTCAGGCACCCCAGGAGTGGTTTCTTTTTTAACAACTGTGGCAGCGACTGCTAGTTCCCCCACCAAATGTCCCCTTCCTGGGCAAAGAACTGCGCTGCATTTTCCCGCCTCCCGTGCACCTAGAGGTGACTGAGTTCCAGGCTCTGGAATGGCAACAGAAATGATGGGTGCTGTGTCCACACCTGGCACATAGAAGCCCCTTGTGCAGTCCCCCATACCCTCTTCCCCATCTGGCTGGCTGGAGTGAAGACAGCCCCCTGGAAACCGAAGAGACTATATGCTCAGATGGTACAGCCTGTTACATGCCTTGAACTACTCCAGAAAGAAGGGGGTGCCCCACTGTTCTGTTCACCTGCCCAGGACTCCCACATGAATAGAGTGTAGCTGCTACCATGTTTAAGCCAGTTTGCATAGCAGTTAACCTGCCCCACCTAAGATTATTATAACAAATTGCTTGTTAACTATCAAGTGCTTGTTATCTATCAACTTCGTATGCCAAATTAATGGCACCATTTACTTGGCGAGATGGGTTAGAAATTGTAATTTTTAATACACACTCACACTCATCTTTTCATTCAATTTTCAGAATTATTAAATAAGAGCTTAATTTATATTTGAGGTTTTGACCTGGTATTAATTTCTTTAGCACCCCCAAATAATGTGATTTGGGGACAGGAAGTCGCTAATAAGGTAACTCCACTTCCAAGTACAAATTTCCTTGATCATGCTGACATCTCCGTGCTATCTTATTTGAAGAGGGAGAGAACAAATTTAAACAACCACCATTAGGAAATTCAACTTCACATCCACTACAAGCAAAAATGACATTGAGTTACTCTTTTCATAGGTTAAACTAATTCACAACAGTATTTTTTAAAATAAATATAGCTTTTCTATTTTTTTTTTTTTTTTTAGTTTATTTTTGAGAGAGAGAAAGCATGAGTAAGCAAGGGGCAGGGGAGAGGAGAGAGAGAATCCAACAAGGGGCAGAGAGAGAGGGAGGGAGAGAGAGGGAGAGAAAGAGAATCCCAAAGCAGAGCTCTAGCTCACCCAATATGGGGCTTGAACTCACAAACCGTGAGACCATGACCTAAGCCAAAATCAGATATTCAACGGACTGAGCCATGCAGGTGCCCCCCCAACAGTATTTTTTTAAGGGAATTACTAATAATTGGTTGGGAATCACCACTTTGAGCAAAAATTTGCATCTCCAAGAATATAATTAACAGTAAGTGAAGAAATTGAGAACTAACATTGATGATATTAATCTCATACAGTGCCAGAAATAAGACCCTAGTCAATATTAATAAAGGTTTTAAAGATATTTGGTCTCCAGCTCCTCACAAACCACTCTGAACTCCCAGAGCTCTCCTGTCCCCTGCTCACCTGGGGCTATAGGTATGGTGGCGTGGTGGTGTCCTGGATGGTTAGAAGCCCAAGTTCAGACATCAGGCTGCCTAGATCTGAACCCTGGCTTTATTACTGACTAACTTTCCTCGTTTATCAGCACATAAAACAAGAATAGAACCTAACCTACAGCGTTTCTATGAAGATAAATGAGACAATGCATGTAAGATGTTAAGTAAGTGCCTGGTACATAAAAAGTGTTTTTTAAATAGTTGTTTTTGTTATCATTATTGCTATGGTCATTACTTAATCTTTCTTGAGGAAAGAGATTATTGTTGATTTATTTCTGTATCCCCCACTGGACCCAATGCCTTAGAAGTTGTGGCTGTTTGACAAATGTTCATGAAATAAATAAATTGGTGAAACTCCAGGTCGCTACTATATAGTGAACAGGGGATGGCTATCATACGATCCCACTGATCTTCACTGAATATCATGTCTAGCACTTATTTAAAATATAATATCACATGAATGCTGGGTGTTATATGTATAAGTGATGAGTTACTGGGCTCTACTCCTGAAGCCAATATTACATTGAATGCTAACTGACTGGAGTTTAGATAAAATTTGGGGGGAAATAATATATAACATCATATACAAATAAACAAGATTAAAGATTCAAAGTAAAGGTAAAGTCAAAAAAGTACTTGAACCTTATTTTCATAAATTAATTTTGAAGTAGGAGCCTTTCTAAATATCACCCCACAAAAGTAATTTTGTACGTGAAGTCCTTAAAAAATAAAGAGCTCCTAAAAACCAATAAATAGAGATCAGGGGCGTCTGGGTGACTTAGTCGGTTAAGCGTCCGACTTTCGCTTAGGTCATGATCTCGCGGTTCGTGGGTTCGGGCCCCGCGTCGGGCTCTGTGCTGACTGCCAGCTCGGAGCCTGGAGCCTGTTTCAGTCTGTGACTCCCTCTCTCTCTGACCCTCCCCTGCTCACGCTGTCTCTCTCTCTCCTAGAAATAAATAAAAATTAAAAATTTAAAAATAAATAAATAAATAAATAAATA